ACCGGCAAATCGCTCTGGGGGTCCCTGGGGGATTTGGGGGGGATTTGGGGGGATTTGGGGGTCCCTGGGTGAGCTGGGGGGGATTTGGGGGGGATCTCAGGGAGTTCTGGGGGTCCCTGGGTGGTCCTGGGTGAGTCTGGGGTCCCCAGGGGTCCCAGGGGTGTCCCTGGGGGTCCCAGAGGGGTCCCAAAGGTGTCCCAGGGGTTATCGGGGGTCCCAAAGGTGTCCCAGGGGTGTCCCTGGGGGTCCCAGGGGGGTCCCAAAGGTGTCCCAGGGGTGTCCCCGGGGGTCCCGGGGGTCCCCGCGCCCCCTGACCCCCCCGTCCCCAGCGGTGAAGAACAGCGCCAAGGGCTCGCACCGGGACAAGCGCTCGCAGGTGGTCTACAACGAGGACCTGTTCGGAGGGCACTGACCTGGGGACACACCTGGACAACTGGGGACACCTGGGACACACCTGGGGACAGCTGGGGACACACCTGGGGACACCTGGACACCTGGGGACACACCTGGACACCTGGAGGGATGGGGGACACACCTGGGGACACTTGGAGGGGTGGGGACGTGGTTGGGGGGTGGGACAGGTGTGTGTTGTCACCTGGGGGGGACGGGGACACCTGTGGGGGGATCTGGTTGGAAGAAAGAAACGTTTGTTGTCACCTGGTGTGAGAAGAATGCATTTATTGTCGCCTGGGGGGGTGGGGACAGCACTATTGTCACCTGGGGAGGTGGGACAGGTGTTTATTGTCACCTGGGGAGGTGGGGCAGGTGTTTATTGTCACCTGGGGGGGGGTGGGGACAGCCAGGCCACGCGCAGGGTGTGTCCAGCTCTGTCCAGCCACGCCTGGCTGCGTCCAGGGGTGCCCAGGTGTGCCCAGGTGGCTCAGGGCAGGAAGCCCAGCTGTGCCCAGGTGTGCCCAGGTGCACCCAGGTGGCCCCAGGTGCCCCAGGTGTGCCCAGGTGGCTCAGGGCAGGAAGCCCAGCTGTGCCCAGCTGTGCCCAGGTGTGCCCAGGTGCCCCAGGTGTGCCCAGGTGTGCCCAGGTGGCTCAGGGCAGGAAGCCCAGCTGTGCCCAGGTGCCCCAGCTGTGCCCAGGTGTGCCCAGGTGTACCCAGGTGGCTCAGGGCAGGAAGCCCAGCTGTGCCCAGGTGTGCCCAGGTGCCCCAGGTGCCCCCAGGTGGCTCAGGGCAGGAAGCCCAGCTGTGCCCAGGTGTGCCCAGGTGTGCCCAGGTGGCTCAGGGCAGGAAGCCCAGCTGTGCCCAGCTGTGCCCAGCTGTGCCCAGGTGCCCCCAGGTGGCTCAGGGCAGGAAGCCCAGGTGCCCCAGGTGTGCCCAGGTGGCTCAGGGCAGGAAGCCCAGCTGTGCCCAGGTGCCCCAGGTGTGCCCAGGTGGCTCAGGGCAGGAAGCCCAGCTGTGCCCAGGTGTGCCCAGGTGCCCCAGGTGTGCCCAGGTGGCTCAGGGCAGGAAGCCCAGCTGTGCCCAGCTGTGCCCAGGTGTGCCCAGGTGTGCCCAGGTGCCCCCAGGTGGCTCAGGGCAGGAAGCCCAGCTGTGCCCAGCTGTGCCCAGCTGTGCCCAGGTGTGCCCAGGTGCCCCAGGTGTGCCCAGGTGGCTCAGGGCAGGATGCCCAGGTGCCCCCAGGTGGCTCAGGGCAGGAAGCCCAGCTGTGCCCAGCTGTGCCCAGGTGCCCCAGGTGTGCCCAGGTGGCTCAGGGCAGGAAGCCCAGCTGTGCCCAGGTGCCCCAGCTGTGCCCAGGTGCCCCCAGGTGTGCCCAGGTGGCTCNTCTCGGGGGGTTCTGAGGGTCTCTGGGTGGTCCTGGGTGAGTCTGGGGTCCCCAGGGGTCCCAGGGGTGTCCCCGGGGGGTCCCAAAGGTGTCCCAGGGGTGTCCCCGGGGGTCCCAGGGGTTATCGGGGGTCCCAAAGGGGTCCCCGGTGGTCCCAGGGTTGTCCCAGGGGGGTCCCAAAGGGGTCCCAGGGGGTCCCAAAGGGGTCCCAGGGGTGTTCCAGGGTGTCCCCAGGGGTCCCAGGGGTGTCCCCGGGGGTCCCAAAGGTGTCCCAGGGGTGTCCCCAGGGGTCCCAAAGGGGTCCCGGGGTGTCCCCTGGGGTCCCAGGGGTTATCGGGGGTCCCAGGGTGTCCCCAGGGGTCCCAGGGGTGTCCCCGGGGGTCCCGGGGGTCCCCGCGCCCCCTGACCCCCCCCGTCCCCAGCGGTGAAGAACAGCGCCAAGGGCTCGCACCGGGACAAGCGCTCGCAGGTGGTCTACAACGAGGACCTGTTCGGGGGGCACTGACCTGGGGACACACCTGGGGACACCTGGGACACACCTGGGACACACCTGGGGACAGCTGGGGACACACCTGGGGACAGCTGGGGACACCTGGAATACCTGGAGACTCACCTGGGACAGCTGGAGACACAGCTGGGACACCTTGGGGACACCTGGGGAGACCTGGGACAGCTGGGGGACAAGACAGGACACACCTGGACAGCTGGGGACACACCTGGGGACATCTGGAACACCATGGGGACACCTGGGGAAGCCTGGGACATCTGGGAGACAGCACAGGACACACCTGGGGACACCTGGGACACCTGGGGGACAAGACAGGACACACCTGGGGACACACTGGGGGGGCGGGGACACGGCTGAGGACACCTGGGGGGTGGGACAGGTGTGTGTTGTCACCTGGGGGGTGGGCCAGGTGTGTGTTGTCACCTGGGGGGGACGGGGACACCTCTGGGGGGATCTGGTTGGAAGAAAGAAACGTTTGTTGTCACCTGGTGTGAGAAGAACGCGTTTATTGTCACCTGGGGGGCCGGGGACACCACTATTGTCACCTGGGGGGTGGGGGCACCTCTGTTGTCACCTGGGGGGGGTGGGGCAGGTGTTTATTGTCACCTGGGGAGGTGGGGCAGGTGTTTATTGTCACCTGGGGGTGGTGGGGCAGGTGTTTATTGTCACCTGGGGAGGTGGGGCAGGTGTTTATTGTCACCTGGGGAGGTGGGGCAGGTGTTTATTGTCACCTGGGGAGGTGGGGACAGCCAGGCCACGCGCAGGGTGTGTCCAGCTCTGTCCAGCCACGCCTGGCTGCGTCCAGGGGTGCCCAGGTGTGTCCGGCCATGCCCAGGTGTGCCCAGGTGGCTCAGGGCAGGAAGCCCAGCTGTGCCCAGGTGCCCCAGGTGTGCCCAGGTGTGCCCAGGTGGCTCAGGGCAGGAAGCCCAGCTGTGCCCAGGTGTGCCCAGGTGGCTCAGGGCAGGAAGCCCAGCTGTGCCCAGGTGCCCCAGGTGCCCCCAGGTGGCTCAGGGCAGGAAGCCCAGCTGTGCCCAGGTGTGCCCAGGTGCCCCCAGG